AATGCTTTCTTATATTTGTTAATCAATTTGATGATACAACACATGTGCCAAAAATGATCATAACCAGTATAGTAAACTATGATGAAGGTTCACTGTATGTAAGAATTTTCAAATACTTCATTTGCAATTTGACAACAGACCATGATGGTGTTCACATTTTTCAAATATTCTTCAAGAAGTGTTATCAGTGCCAGCTCAAACTATCATAAGTATTATGTTTGTATTCCTACTTTAAATTCAAAACCAGCAAATGTAAAAGATTGATGTCGCATCCTTCACCACAGGACGTGATCGTCGTTAGACTTGGCAACCCTGCGAGTGACAGAGAGATAACTCGACCAGTGAAAAAGGCAAACAATAAGCATTAATAGTTTTTATGATTTTTGGACTTAAAGGACATTATTTGTGAGACATTTTTCATAATTTTTTGTCTATGTTTTGTCTAAATTCGAGATTGCCATGCATTAACAAACATCCAAATCTGCTGCCAAATTTAACAGCTAGAAAATCGACCTATTATTTGCCGCATTCCCATTGACTTTTGGGGATAACTGATTGTTAAATGTAAATTTATAACACAAATCAAAATACATGAAAGTTGACCTGTTTTCTCTGCACAAACGCATCATGTTGGAATCAAAAAGTGGTCTTGTCTATAATACAGTCGAATTTTCACGATTTTATTCAATATTTTAATAGAAATTACTGATATTCTGAGACCTTTGACAGCTTCTGTCATTATTTTACAATTTAGAACATCTGTGGCCGAATTCGAGGTACATAATGTGAATAGTATTATGTCTAAAACAGAACTTTGTGGTACGCCAGATTTTATTATCTCGAATGACGGAATTTTGTTGCCTAATGATAGTTTTTGACGTCTACCAATTAAATAGTGTCGAAAAAAATCACAATCTTCTCAAAAAGACTTAAATAGTTCAGTTTTGATAATAAGTTCGTGGTTAATTGTATCGAAAGCTTTAGAAAAATCAAGGAGCAATAAAAGTGTAGCATAAGCTTTATCAAAAGCAGTGATGATGTCATAATTTACAGATAGAAGCGCTTTCGTTGTGCTATAGCTCTCTCAACGGACTTTACATCAGTATGCACAGCTGGCGTATGCAGAAAAACGTTCTGGAGGAGGCGAAACTTACATTCATAAGATATACTCCATAGCAAATTACTCCAAATACCTCATTCTTAGAAATAAAAGTACGGAAGCGACTATATGAAAAGCATATGGAGATTCAAATGCATTGAAATGTAACAGTTGATTGGTCGCAGTTGTTCTGAAAATAGTGGGCAAAGGCGTTTTTTGTTCTGATTTTTCAAAAATGAGATTTGAATAAAAAATAATTTGTAGGAGGGTTGTATAACTTTTTATTACAAATATTCTGAGATTAGGCCAACGTCAATCAAGAAATAAAGCAATAGGTTATAGTAACAGAAATGTGATATTTGGATCGTCTTCAAATTGCTTAAATAAATAGGTTGCCATGAAGCTTGGTAATACTCGATTCTTTCCAATAACGAATTTCGGTACCTAATGGGCATTAACAGTCTCTGATGGTAAGAAATTCCGTGTTGGAAAATATACATATTTGAAAAATCATACATTTTCGCAGTTTTGTAGATTCCATTTTGATACTATATATAGCAAGCATATTAGGTAGTGGAATTCTGAATGGCTTGAGCGGCAAAGCCTCCCTTAATACCCCTTGTGGCGTTCCCTTATAACCTAAGCACCCTCAACAAATATAGGTAATGAAGTTAACTTTGCGATTGTATGTAGAGTATTAACAGTAAATAATACTGCCAGTGTTCGGAATATTCATTCGTTATACTAAGCTGTCGGCATCAAAGGCAATCGTCTTCTATTGAAGTAAGCTGTAGACTTTTAAAAAGTGCTGAGTGGTGAACATTGGTACTTTCACAAAAATTGAGTGGATCATTTTCCTTCATATTCAATTTTAGTACTTAGTGTACCTAAGACAGGCAATCATCTTCTATTGCAGTAAGCTGTAGACTTTTAAAAAGTGCTGAGTGATGAACATTGGTACTTCCACAAAAATTGAGTGGATCATTTTCCTTCATATTCAATTGGAGTACTTACTGTACCTTGATGTAGCAACATTTAGTCATTGACCAGAAACTTATATATATATATATATATCCTTGTTAACTTTCTCATCAATTACATTAAAGTATTACACGTTAGTTGAACTAAAATCACAATACAGTGGCAACTAGCAAGTGCATAAGTGGCCTGGCCAGCTGTAGGAAAGATTTGCGTCGTATATCCGCAATTGCGGTACAACAATCCAGTTGTTCCAGCAGTGAGAATATCACCATTAACAAGACATTTTACACGGTAAGTATTTACTGTGATCCGAACAATCAGTAATGATTGCTGCGTCTGTCAGTCCTCCTATACACGTTCAGTACATACCACATATCATGATAACTAGTGACGGATCACAGTAAATACTGACCATGTAAAATTTGTACAGTAATATTTTTCTTTGCCGTCACCACAGAAGATAAGATATATCACCTGTTGTGAACTAAATCAGCATCTTGAGATTGAAAAATTAACTACTTTTAACCTTTGGTGTTTTCTGTTTAATGTATGGGCAGCGCGATAGACATATAAAACTCTCATAATGAAACATAACAGTTGCAGCAACGATTTCAGTAATAGACGTGCAGAATATTTTAGCCCGCTGTGAAAGAGGTCATTATCGATAGGTATTATGATACTAAACAGCAGGAAACCTCTCCTCTACTGAAGGTTGCCATCACCCGTCCAGCAATTGATACTACAATTGCACAAAGACAGTCATTTCTTAAAAGGTTCTTAAAAGATTCTTTTGAGGTGATCCGCATTCATAATATGCCTGCAAGAATTTTCCTCTTGCCGATACTTAATCAAAGAAAAAGGTTCAGCAGCCCAGAGTCATTCGTTGGCTGTGTAGACCAACGTCATACATCTCCAATGTGCACTGGTCTGGCGTCCACATATCGGACTTCGTAAATGTTAACTCAATATGTATTTTTTAAACCAAAACAGCGACGCAGGCAGAAGCCTAAATACCACGGCACCGCGGCTGCTATAAGGAGCTTAAAGAAACCTTTTTAATCAGATTTTTGAACTGCGTGAGGTTAGTAGAACTGGGAAAAGCCTCATCATGTAGACTGTTCCACAATATAGATACCTCAGGGACAATGGAGCGGTAGTATCGACCAGTTCTGGATGTACAAGGTTTGATACGGTCAGGATGGAAGGTCGAGTCTGTTTGGCAGGCACATAGCGTGGCGGCATCTTGGGGGAGAGCTCAGAGGAGCAAAGCTTGTTGGCATAGCGGTACAAGAGAGCTAGATCGCCGACGTCCCGTCGGTGTGAAAGGGTCCTAAAACTGTCAGTTAGAGAGAGCATCGAGCATGGATGATGTAGTTGGGATGGCAGTACCCCAAGCATGTGAGGCTAGGTCTTATTTGAGCCTTGTACAGAGTGAGGAGGTTATGTGGAGAGTTCTTCTTAGCCCTAGTAATTCTAGCAGAGACCGGCTTGCCACTGTGAATTCCTACATGTAGAGTGCTGTCATCAGGAAGCTGTGGATCGAATTGATTGTACAGGAAATGAGATCGTTGATATGTAACAATGGAGGAGGGGCAATGTCTGAGCCAAGACCGATCACTGGAGGAAAACCGCGCCAATTACGACGGATATCTTGCGACCAAAGAGGAAGTCAGCCACCGATTTTCAAAGCTTCTCTGGCAGACCATAGAATGGGAGTTTGCATTAAAACGCATATAGATGCAACGTTGAAACCTTACTGACGGTGTCCGAGTTACTTTAGGGAGTTAGGATGACGTTTCGAGAGGATACAGCGATACGAGACCGTGACCGGCGACTAGCGGCATAGCGCTCATACAGAAGATCGGTCAGCATCAAAGTATAATATGTTAAGCATAAAGTAATATGTGCATTCAGTCTCCGTCTTGATCACCTATAGCGGTCTCATGTTGCTGTCTATATACAAAATTGTACCTTTATGTAGCTTAAGGTAACTTTCAACAGTTTTTCATAATATCCACCTGTTTTGGGTCACTCAGTATATTCAACTTGATCAATTCGGTCACCTGTATTAGCAGAGGTCTTCTTGATGGATTTTACAAATGGCTATAGCTTATTATATTGATTTGTCAGAGAAAAACTACACAAGTCTCTATAAAAAACCGCAAAATGCTGCAAAACGCAGTGCAAAATAAAAAGCAAACAAGGGAATATGCATTTTGTGAAAACATATATTTGTTTGTTCTTGCAAAACGTGGGAAACATCTGCATTCCCAATTAAAACCCAGTAGCGGGTCTGACAAAAAGAGAAAATCACGAACTGATGAAGTAAAATCTTATTTATGAGTCTGAAACACAATGGATCAGAAAATTATCTTACAACCGTAAGGTTATGAGTGACAGTATCCTTTGCTCTAGAGTCAGGATTTTTTTTAGTTGAAGAGTTTGCTCGCCTAGCCGTGAGTTTGTTCGTTGTCGTTGTCAAAAATTTTTATAGTGCTCATGCCATCGTGTTCCTTGATATTCCTATAACAGTGATTTTCTTAGAAGTGCTGGTAAAACGATCATTAATGTGGAAAAACCACAGGTCGGCACAACACAGGAGATGTCTTTATCTGGTGGAGTACAACTTTTGAATAACGAAAAGATCAAGAAAATATTCGAGAAAACTGAATAAACTTCTCAACCTAAGATGCTCGATGATATAAGAAAGCATTCTAACAAGAATGTTGAGTACCTGTTTCTTACTGTGTATATATAGTTGCGCCAAAAGTCTGTCCTTTCCAAAATGTGAGACTCGGAAAATATGGTTTAATCACTAGATGAAGGCCAGCTGTCATATATTCCGCAAAGGCATCTCTTGGCGTCTTATTATGGAGAGTGACGTTATGCTAAGACTCATATCAGAGATATCATTCTTATCTCATTCTTTCCTAACGGACTTATGTACTAGTATGTAATGCAAAAGCTCATCAGTATTTGCGCCTTGGTCCGTTTCTATAGTTTTATTCTTGATCAGCGTCATTCCCCTCATTTTGGTTTCAGGCTTAATAAACCTTCCCTCAATTATATGCCTGAAAAAAAAAATCAGCAGCGACCCTTTCGCTAAGCGCCAGCTCCAGTTGTACCTGGTGATCACCTATACTGAGCATATAATCAGAAGTAGAAACAACAGTATCCCCCCGTAATGCAATTTATGTATTCTCTCTTTTCTGCTCGCTTTGGGTCATCATTTTGTGTAGGGCATCGGTTAATCTAGCGTTAATGCAATGCCGATATTTTTACTGCAATAGAGTAGCCAGAAACATGCGGCAATATTTTTGCCCGACGTTATTGCTACATGTTTTACGTTTCCAATCTTTTTTATATATTGCTGTCGGATTACCGAATTATCGTAATCCTACTTAATGTAATGTAAGTATTATAAGCTTCCGCAACGCATACAGTTTCGTCATTTAGGGCTAAGAATTGTTTTTTCCACATGACCACTTCACCCTGTACAAGGCCCAGATAAGTCCTAGCCTCGAGTATTGCGCACACGTTTGGGGTGCTGCCGCCCGACTACAGTATCCATGCTCGATGCTGTTCAGCAGAAGGCTGTCCACCCCATTCGCACCGGCGCACAGTGTTTCGACCAGTACAAGATAGCTGGACAAAATTACTTAACTGAACTTAATGTTTTTAATGATTTTATTAATTATTCTTATAAACATTTTAATCATTCTAAAGTTAAAGCGTAGAGTTTTTGGTACATTTAACTGGTCTTATTAAATAAAAATAAATTTATTGGTTAAATATGTAAAAAAATATACGGTACACTTTATATACCAAATGTAAAATATTATTATAGTTACTAATCTAATTATAATTACAATAACTTCAACTAACTACCTACTATCTAGTTCCTAGCTAATCATTATCATCGGTAAACTCCTCTTCTGAGGAATCATTTTCAATGTAGTCTAATAAGTGAACATCACTATCGCGAGTCCTATTATTTATATCTAAATTTATAGATGGTGGTAACAGTGAGTCTAAAACTTCCGAAGGCACATTACCATTCTTTTGTTTTGGTAACTTCTCTGAGGCTGTTAATTACAGGGTCAGATGTGATTAATAACATATTTAGTAAATCTCTATTCGTGGCAATGCGTGGTCGCTTCCGCGTATTATGTTCTTGGAATCTCCTGACATCTTTATCGCGGGCTTCCTGTGCTTTTTCAGAAAGCTGCCCGATTGACAGGAGAGCCGATTGTATAATATCGGTACCATGCACCAAAATTTTGTGTACAGTAGCAGGCATGTAATACCACGGATAGAGACTTAAATACAGTTTTCTTACGTCCTGTGTTAGTTTTACAAATTTGTCTACATTTATGTCATCGCCAGATGATAAAGCTCTAAGTAAGGTGTCAAACTTTTTTATAAGGCTCACATCTAGTCCTGTAATCTCTGCACTTATAACATGAAGACTTAGCTTTCCGAATACTACAAAATGATAGAAATACCTGATATCCAGCCTTAATACTCCACTTTCGAGTCTGTTTATAAGAATAACTGGTTGACTTTGAGTCAACATAATATGCTAGAGCCTCTTCCTTGGTGAAACACCTTTGGTTGGTGCAGTCATTGGACATTACACATTTCTTCATCTCCTTGCATATTACCGAACTTTCACTAGCGTTCTTAATTACGGTAGCCAAGAATCTGTAACCAGAAAGTCGTGCTGATATTGCCGCGGCAGAGATTAATCCGGATGTACTCCGCGAAGCCACTAGGTCTTCAACTCGTCTCTTTTTCGTTTTGTGGCTTAACTCGGCGAATTCTTTTCGCGGTCTTCCAAGCGCAGTAGAGCTTTCAGATACAAATGGTTGCGAATAATAAAGAGAAATATTAAAGCATAGATCGTCACTCCGAATTTTTCAGCAGAAACCGTTTTCGATACTTTCCACAATTCGAACATTTCTGGGATAGTTTTGACGAAAATCTACAGATAGAGTTTTCTGTTTCCCTCAATGAACCTCGGTGATACCCAGAAAGTCATATTTTGTGGATAAAAGTTGGTATAACTTGCTGTTCTGGTCTCTTTTTTCATGTTTCAGCCATTCCTCTAAAAACTCCATTTTCGAAATAGTGTAGACGTAAACTGGAAAACGATAGAAAAAAATTAATTGTACAAAAATATGCAGCTAAAATCTATTATATTTTAAGAGTAGGAAGTAACAGCTATGACATAAATGAATTTTAGCCCCGGGCACACGGGGGCATATAGTTTCCTCACATATAAAATAAAAAAATTGATAAAAAATCAATACTTTTCAAAAATTAGGATTTTTTCAACTACTGAGGTGTATTTAATATAGTTGTTCATTAACATTAAGCAGTGCTTACCTTTAACTACAAAATCCATCGCTACGGTATATATTCTGACCGGCAACAACAACCACTAGAGTAATATTGTCGCACGAAGTACAAAATAAGGAATAAATTTTTTTTTTTATATCGAAACAGCCAAAGCCTAAATGCCGGAACACCGCGGCTGCTATGATGATCCCAAAGAAATTTTGTTAATACGATTTTTGAACTGCCTAAGGTTAGTAGAACTGGGAAAAGCTTCCTCCCGTAGATTGTTCCACAATCTAGACACCCTCGGAACAAAGGAGCGGTCGTATCGGCCAGTTCTGGATGTACGAAGTTTGACACGGTTAGGATGGGACGCCGAAGTCAGGCGGGTCTGTCTGGCAGGCACATCGCGCGGCGGCATCATGGAAGAGAGCTCTGAGGAGCAAAGCCCGTTAGTGTAGCGATAGAAAAGAGCTAGATCGCCGACGGCCCGCCGGTGCGAAAGAGTCCCGAGACTGTCTGTTAGAGAAGAGTCATCGATCAGTCGGACCGCCCTCCTCTGGACAGCATCGAGCATGGACAATGTAGTCGGGGCGGCAGCACCCCAAATGTGTGAGCAATACTCGAGGCTAGGCCTTATCTGGGCCTTGTATAGAGTGAGAAGGTCATGCGGGGAAAAGTACTTCTTAGCCCTAAACAAATAGCCTAGCTTTTTCCCAGCAGCTGCAGCTATTGAAGAGATGTGTTCGTGCCAGATCAGTTCCTCGGTGATCTGGACTCGGACCAGCCGAAATGAATGGCTCTTTGGTAGAACTCGACCGTCCATCGAAACTGTATGAGCGCTAGGACGCTTTTTGTTCGTCAAAGTACAGTACTGTGTCTTGGAAGCATTGAACTGTACAAGATTGTTGCGTCCCCAAGCAGTGATAGCTTCCAGGTCTCTTGTCAGAGAAGAAGTCGTCGCTGGTCTTCTTTTTTCCAGCTCAGCGGCAGACATCGGCTTGTCACTCTGAATTCCTGCATGTAGAGTGCTGTCATCAGCGAAGCTGTGCATTGGGTTGATCGTGCAGGAAAGGAGGTCGTTGATATGTAAGAGAAACAGTGTTGGAGCCAAGACCGATCCCTGGGGAACACCCGCGTTGACGTTGTGGGATGAAGAGGAGAATCCGTCAATTACGACGGATATCTTGCGGCCAGAGATAAAGTCAGCCACCCATCTGCAAAGCTTTTCTGGGAGGCCGTAGGATGGAAGTTTGCTTAAGAGGGCAGCGTGCCACAGCTGATCGAACGCTTTCGTGATGTCAAGAGCAACGACATGAGCCTCACCATGAGACTGGATGAGTCTACTCCACAGCTGCGTGACGTAAGCTAGGAGGTCCCCTGTGGATCGTTGGTGCCGGAAACCGTACTGCCTGTCGCTAATCAAGCTGTGACGTTCGAGGTAGTCTAGAAGCTCGCGATTTATGCACCTCTGCATCACTTTAATTATAACAGAAAGCAGAGCTATAGGCCTGTAGTTGTAAGGGTCGGTCTTAGATCCTTTTTTTGGGATGGGCTGTACATGAGCAAATTTCCAGTTTTCAGGGAAGGTGCCGGATTCATAAGATATCTGGAAGGGACGCTAAAGAACTGGAGCAAGCTCCGCTGCACATCTCTTCAGTACAATGGCAGGAATCAAGTCCGGACCAGAAGCTTTGTTGATGTCGAGCGACAAGAGCACTCGTCTTACGGTCTTATGCCTGAATGTTACCTCCCGCATAGTGTGGGGAACCCTTTGAATTGTCGGCACTTGGGCGTTGGTGGGGACGTCCATGGTGGAGTTTTCAGCAAAGGTCTTGGCTAGCACTTCCGCCTTGGCCTTTGAGTCGAATACAATAGTTCCATCCTGACACGTAAGTGGTGGAAGGCTACTGTGTGGGAAGTTCTTTTCAATCTGCTTGGCCAGCGTCCAGAAAGACCGACTGCCATTGCGCTGCGACATTACCCTGTGCCTAACTTTTATATCATGCTGGTTTTTGGCATTGCGTACCGCTTCGTTATATTTGTTTCTGGAGGCGACGTCGGCTTGTCTGTTCTCTACAGTGGGGTTTTGTAAGTAGGTTCTGTGGGCCTTGATCTTCTGCTGGCGAGCAGTGTCACACGATTTGTTGAACCAGCCGTTGGACCCTGGTTTAGGAACTTTCACTGTGTGAGGGATGTATTCCTCCATTCCGACGTGGATAATTTCGGTTATTGAAGAACAGACAGTCGACGCATCCGCGTCAGTGAAACAGACATCTCTCCAAGGAAAGCTAGAGAAGAAGTCTCTGAGCCCCTCCCAGTCGGCATGTCCGTAATGCCAAGTTTTGCGGCCTGTGCGAGTTTCTGCTGCCACAGCGGCTTCTGACCGAAACCTAACCTCTACAACACCGTGATCTAAGTTACCCAGGGGGGACAGGACAGCAGTGCTGTAAGGGGCAGGATGCGTGGTCAGAAAGAGATCCAGCAGGCTACTGGCGTGTGACGAGACGCGGGGGAAAAAAGTAGGGCTCGTCACCAGCTGAGTCATCCCTTGAGTAAGAGCGAACGCTTCGACTGCCCGACCTGCTGCATCGGTCTTATTTGAGCCCAACCAAAGCTCATTATGGGCATTGAAATCACCGAGAAGAGCTACCTCTGAAGCGGGGTGATTGACGTTCAGGAAGTCGATCTGGACGGCGAGGTATTCGAGTAGGTCATCCCAGTTATGGTTCGAGGGAGAGCGATAAAGGCAGCAAATATATTTGGGTGATGTTATGGAGTTGAGGCGAAGCCACA